TGAGTTCAATACTCTACCTCTAGTCCACGGGCTCCTTGCTTTGTCGGTTGACTGTATTGTACAAATACTGGAACTGTCTACATATGATTAAGCCATTTCTGTCAATGTCTGCGATGACAGATCGCCGACGAAACGCCAGGCAGACAAAATTCTTGTCCCAGCGATCGCATCTGCTTCGTCAAAAATACTTCATAACATCGGTATTTTCTTTTATTTTGGTCAACCCAATTGTGAAAAAATACTCTCGGCATTTGAACCCGCATAGTAGGGAAGGCCTTAACGCGAAGCCAATGCCCTACCAGTTGAGCTACAAATGGCAAGCCTAGCACCATGAATTTAATACATTTGGATCGATTTTACCCGCCCAACTCTACCGCTCATATAGAATCCACCATTACGGAACAGCAAGCTGACTGCCCAAGCAGAATTTCCTAAGCAATCATCTTGAATCCACCAGAATGACTACTAGGCTGACTTAATTATTAGGAGGTTTGGCATATTTGCTTAATTTAGTTGAACCAATAGTTGGGCGGGTAAGATCCATCCAAGTGTGATTAAACTTACGTTCCTAAGCGTGGTATTTGTAACTCAACTGGTAGAGCGTAAAGGCCTTCCCTACCATGCGGGTTCAAATCCCGCCGAATGCCAAGAGTTTTTTCACAATTGAGTCAACTAAATTAAGCAAATCTGTCAAACCTCCTAAACAATCTGTATTTTCCATAGTAGTGGATCAAAACTATTCGACTTTCGAGAGTCTCGAATAGCCTTTGTCACCCCCCCTCTTCCCCAGGCTTGAAAATCATCCGTGCTGCTTAGCAAACTGTGCTCTTTCTTCTGAGCGGTAGTCTTGAAGGAGCACGCGTACTGCGCGTCTCGTCAACCCTACATTAACGGCACATGAATGATCTGAGTGCTCATAGAAGACTGGCCCTCCGGTTAATGCAAGGCTGGCAAGACGTGCGGTACTTCAGCACGCAAACTGGTACTCATAACCATTGTGCTCACGTGGCTCAACGTCAAGGGCTGAGCAGAGAAGGACCGCCTTTATGGACTC